GGTTAAGACTTTGAGGCTCTAAGTTAAAAATCTCAAATTCAAACCTTGAGTATGATAAAGAGAGATTTGAGAATAAAAATGAGTTATCTTCTTTTGTATAATTCATAATCAGATATATATATATATATATATTAAAAAAAAAATCGGCATGCTAGTTAAGAAAAAGAAAATGTACTAGTGTACAATACTTTTCAGCTAGGTTTCCTTGGAGAACAATTTGTCCATCTTACTATGTCGGTTCTATAATGTTGCCATAAAATTTATAGTTTCTTTTGTTGGAACTATGTCCCCAAAAAGTTAAAAAAAAAAAAAAAAAAAAAAAAAAAAAGATGGTACGTACCTAGAACTTATAAATCCCCCTTACTACAAAGAAGAGATGAATTCATTTCATTACCTTCAATCCTTTATTACAAAATCTTTTACATTCAGTGTGAAAATAATCAACTAATATGATAGAATCTTTGGTTCTAACCTACCATAACAGTTGAATGCCGTAGCGCGGCAGGATGAATTATGATTAGATTTCTGCATCATCTATGATGTCCTCTATGACACTGATACAAGATCCAACAGAGTTCCCCATGGACATTGACTCTACAAGTTTGGCTCTGGCAGCCTCATGGCGGCGTAACAGCAGGATTGTGTTCAGTACAGACCATCTGACTTGGGAATCCGCTTTCTTCTGTGTGAACCCTAAGCTTTTGAGCAATATATCCAGCTGTTCCATGACAAGAAATGTCCATTAATGAATTCAGTATTGCAAAGAGAATGTTGAGACATGAACATTCAGGGAAGGAACTTATGAACCTTGTTAATATCAGCTAGGCCCCCCTCAGCGTATCCATATAGTAGATACTCAGTTGCCACTCCCGCCAGTGCTATACACGAAAACCTATTCAGCATCTGTTAAGATATATTCTCGATTTAAAATTTTTCCCCAAAATTGTTTGATGAGAAGTAACTAACAGATACTAGAACATAATGCAACTGCAGTACATTTGCTAGCACCAATCCAGAAAAATGAGCAGTGGTCTACATACCATAGCGGATACTTTTCCTGTAGTAACCTGCAGAACACAAGCATTGCACTTATCAAGGACAAGCTATAGTATTTCAAAGAATCAAATGACTAGCACATAAATCAGCAAATGATAAGAGAATTTGTGGTGAATTTGATGGTGATATTAGTGTGCGTAACTCTTAAGTTCTAATTGTGTCAATTCCAACATGACCATTTCTTTTGATCTTTTTCCCTAGGTGAAGCTGTAAAATTGCAGCCATATTTCTCTTAGTAAAATGTTCAAGCAATCCAAGGTACTTGAAGGCAACCAAAAGCTCTATTTATCAAATTAGTCAGAACCATCAGTGACGTGGTGTGGTGGAGTTGCCTATGCTCTTAGTTATTGGTCTATAGGGTTCAAGCTAGTCACTACACAACAAAAAAATTAAATCAGTCAGTTTAGGTGTCCTGAAATTGGGTTATAGCCATGGTAAAGTTGACTCCAGGGAAATAGAGGTTCTAACTTCACTTTTGACAGACACTAGAGTTTGATTTTCCTAAGATGCACCAAATGAAGAAAAGGCAACAGATGTAGTGAAAAAGAGAGAATCACAAAATAAGAAAACAAACATACTTCTTCAAGAAACTCAAAATCCACAAAAGCAGTCCCTGCCTGGACATTCAGTGATCCTTCTTTCTTCAAAGCCTCCAAGCTGGTCAGTGTATATCCTTTAGGAAGAATGCCAACCAAGTAGGCAATTAAGAAATGGCCAGCTTCATGCTGCGTATAAATTTTATATGATGATTAATTTACCATGGAGCAAATAACTCTGAATTGTTAAGCTGATAGGTTCTCAAGATACAATGCCATGTAAATTGAAGATTTTTTAACAGAGCTATAGAGATAGTTCAAAATAAGAAAGGTAAGATAATATCAACAATGGCATCTGCAAGTAGATAAGTGGTCATATGATGCTGATAAAGGACAGAGAATTTACTTGAATAACCCTGTTGTGGTACTTCTGACTAAAGGTGTGACCCATCGTGTCAAGAACCAAGCTCCACACTCCACCATTGAAAGAGACCTATTCAAAAACAGATTGTATGAGATGCAAGTAAACTAAAAATTCAATTTATTTAATTTGTTGTTTTAGTCGTTAAGCCGATATCTAGAACGAAAAAGGCTAGGAGGAACGTGACAGTAACGCTTGAGCAGACATTAGGGGAATTGATGACTGCTAAAGGTCAAAGCCTAAATCTTGATCAAACTCAATGTACCAATAACTAGTACCATCAACGAAATTCCCAACAATAAATCTGCATTCAAATTTCAGTAATGGCCTTCAATGATCAATCCATTAATCATACAACAAATTAAATGGCAGATAAACCAAGATATCCATATACATGAAGCAAAAGCAAGCAGGGGCATTGCAGAGGAAAACATTGTACTTCAAATTCATTTCTCAAAAGTTAAATAATGATTTCATTATATCAGACATAGATCATAATGCAAGCACAAAAAGACTCAAAATTTTCAATGCCAACATAAATACTTATATGGGTTTCCATAGTTTATATAGAATAAGGGAAGTACCAAGTCCAGTGTCCAGAGAAACAACAATCCCAGAGAAAGAAGCAATAATTGCTGAGGACTAAATCCAAATACATTCCATGCAACAACCCCTCCCAAAACAGCAACAAGCTGCAGGTTTCTTTCAACAGAACCAAGAGTTGCATCCACCGGCGACAGAAGAGACGCTGTTTCAATTCCGTTGAGCCTCAATTCATCAAGAGTGTAGAGTCTTTGTGGCAGCTGCCTGCCAGCACCGAAGCAACGAAGTCCACCAGGCTTCCCTTGCAGTTCTTTGACAATAGAAAGTGCTGCCCTCTCGTCTCCCTTGGCCAGCTCCCTGTCTACTTGTTCCAGCGCCTGTCGCCGCGACACAGCAGTTTCCGGTGACGAGGCGACGACCCTGAAAGAGGAGAGTGTTCTCCTTGAAGATGGGCATAAGCTACGGTAAAAAACCAATGTGCTCATAACTCAAAATCTGAACTTGAAGAGGGCATCGGAAAATTCAATTGCTTTCTATATCCAACTTCCATTTTCTCTTTTAACATAAACCGCACGTATTCTCGGCCGTACAATTGGGATAGTTCATTCTCACATCCTTGCGAAGAATTCAAACGACGTCGTTTACGTCTTCAATTTCTAAACCTAAGCTGATCTGATTGAAGCTCTCACTTGTGGATGTATCTGTAAGTACTAAAGTCTCCATTGGGACTGACAACTTAAGGGTGGAGCATCTAGTGTAAGAGAGGACGGCACTCGGGGACTTCATTGTTCATTCTAATAATCTGCAGGTGTTTTAGTGTACTTCTCATAATGAATTTTTCCATTGCCAGAGACGAGACAACTTCGGACAAAATACTCGAGCAGCTTGGAATACTCAAAATATTGTGTTCATTTTGCACTGCATAGGTAGACAGTAATGGCATTAGGAAGAACTGCATTGATAGCATTCCACCAAATTGTTGCTCTCTGTTCCGAAGTTTTAAAACATTTATCAAGTGTCTCACATTTCAATAATGACCATACCATTAATCTCAAGAAGAGAAATGGTCGATTTCCAATCCCAATACCCATGAAGGGTTGGGACTTCTCCCAATCAATATCTAACCTTCTATCAACATCTTGCTCATTCAAGATTCAATTTTGATTTACTAAAAACAATCAAAATGAACAGGAAGATGACAGAAATATGAAAAGCATGAACCTTGAAATTTAATTTAGATTCATACAAAAGCCTGCAAGAGACTTCAGGTGCAAAAAAACGTTGATAGGAGGGAGTTGAAAGACTAAAGGCCTACATTTTACAATTATGAGAAAGCTAGAGGCCTAGAACTCTTGAGAGGCAGAACCAATATCACCCTTTCCCTTGCCTGTCTTCTTGGGAAGAAGGTTCTGGTGGATATTAGGCAAAACACCACCATTGGCAATTGTAACAGAGCCAAGCAGCTTGCTCAACTCCTCATCATTCCTCACTGCAAGCTGTATGTGTCTTGGTACAATCCTGTTCTTTTTATTATCTCTTGCAGCATTTCCAGCAAGTTCTAGGACCTGAATCAATACCAAAGAACCAAACACACATCAGAAATCAGAAACATTATCATTGTTTCAATATAGAAAACAAAGACCCAATTTCACAATAGAACCCAACCTTGAAATTGAACAGTATTCAAAACCCTAAATCAAATTGATCAATAAAGCCAACATGCAAGTAAGAACTTCAACATCAGTAAACATTTCAAGCATTAAAACCCACCTCAGCCGCAAGGTACTCAAGCACAGCGGAGAGATAGACGGGGGCTCCAGCACCAACACGCTCTGCGTACTTCCCAGCCTTCAAGAATCTTGCGATCCTTCCTACTGGAAACTGCAAACCAGCCTTCTGCGACCTTGACGTAGATTTCGAAGCCTTCGGCTTCCCCCTTCCTCCCTTCGTCGATCCGCCGGTAGAACTCATTTTCTGTCACGAAGAAACTGAAGAAGAAACCCTAACCCTAGATTGTGCGCAAGAGAACTTTTGAACGAAACGCTATTTCAGAAGATCCTATGCGGTGGAAATGAGATGTGTGGGTTACAGGGGTTATATAGGATGCAAAGGTACGTTGGGATTGGTCGATTGGGAGTCACGGGAATCGCCAACGTGGCACGAGAATTAGAGCGCTCGCGGGAAAGTGGAAATTGCTTTTTTGAATGTTCTTTTCGTGTCGTTTTGGCCTTTCTGCTGGAGATGAGAGTGTCGTTTCTTCAGAGACGGGAAAGAAAAAAGGATAAATGGGAAGGGAAAAAATATTTATAGAACCAAATATGAAATGAAAAAGGATTTAGGAAAAACTATGTAATAAATTTACATATTCTAGTGAGTCTAATTAATATTTTCATATTTTGATTTTTTGGAATGTTAATTCCCTTATAAGATGATTCTTTTTTCTTTTTTTTTTTTTACTCCAAACAGAATTTTATTTGTTAATAATTTACAAAGAATATAATAATAATAAAGGATTATAAAAAATCAAAATGTTCTAGCAATTAAAATTTATAAAAAAAAAATTTCCATAATAAATTAACACACAAAAATTTAAATTTAATAAGTCTTTGAATAATTTCTCAGACAATATTTATTAACAATCATAATTTATTTTTTTATCTTCAATAATAATTTATTAATAAGTTAGCCATAATTATGTAAAAATGTTTAATCCAAATGTATACTGAAAAAAATGACTCCTTCCATGGCACATGGAAGATAATCCCCCTAAATGCTTAATTATGTTTAGCTTTTTTTACGTTTTTCCAATTTGATTTTTTATAAAAATTGTTGAATAACAAGTTACCACCATTTAGCAAATAAAGTGCGGCCTCTACCTATATACAACAAACAAAACCAAGAAGATCAATTTAAGATCTTTTTAAGGGTATCATTCTTCTCAGACAGATCAAAGACCTTGTCACATCGTCGTCGCATCTCTTCAAAAGACAATTCTGTAAACTGCTATCACAATTCATCTATAGATCTGCAAAGAAATTATTTGAACTGCTTGCATTTTTGGGCTTGGTCCCTGCAGAATAAAATGGTTTCGGAACAATGTTTATTATTGACACGAAAAACTACTGCCAGTCCGGTGATAGTTTGCTTAGAGCATTGTAATTGAAGCTACACCTTAGATGGAAGACAGGAAGTGACCTACCTCTCTTAGATTGAGGAGGATTATTATCCACATCCATCTCATCACTGTCGTTGTCTGCCATGGCTACTTGACTATTTTGGTTATTGCTAGAGCATTGCAATATGTCATCCAAATCCCACAACTGTGTTAAAGAAATCAAAGAATGGAGTTAGAACAGTATTGAAAAACTAACTCCAGTGTCACTTTCTCCTTTCATTTTTCCTTTATCTTGTGCGTGTATATGAGAAAGGGATGGAAAGTTAAGGGGAGAAAGAGTGAGATGCACCTTCAGCATCTGATCATGTGATATACTACCAAGAAATTTTCTGTCATGCGAAAAAGCTACAGATTCCAAAAAAAAAAGAAAAGAAAAGTATTAGCTAAAATTTTCTCTTTGAGGGTGTAGTTAGACCCAAATTTTTCCTACAAAAGTAGACATAATACCAAGACCCTCTATTGGGTATTCTGAATGCTCTGCAATTGGTTGTATGATTCTACTTGGCAATATTCCTACAAGGCTGGAGAATGCAAAGGAAATAAATAGAGTAAGAAAAAGAAAAAAATGTAAGCTAAAAATCCATATCCAAATAAAGCATATACTCATATTCACTCTCATCTTCTTACCTGATAAGTCCATTCTCTGATCCTGTAATGATCCTATCTTCATCAAGCTGGCATGACGAGTTTTGGTTGTCTTCATTAAGTATGCCCACACACAGGTTGTGCCAAAGAAATTGCTAAAATAATTAGGAAACAGATTTACCTTCAGCAAAACCTCAACAGAATTTGGTGAGAGATCAACAAAACGGTCACTGAAAATCAAAACAAAACATTCAGGGAACATGAGCGTACAAAACACCAATAATTGACAAAAGAAAGAATCCAACTCAGAGATGTGCAATTTTCTAACTCTATAACATGCTGATTGAAATAACATTCAGCGTAGAATACCTGCAATCCTTGAAAAATCCCCATGAATAAAGCAGCAGAGTTCCACTTTGTGATCCACAAATGACTTTATGATCATTCTGAAAAGCACAACAGGATACATAATGAAAAATGAATTTGCAAAGCTAGTTTACAGAAAAATTATTTCATGTCCACCCATTATATTCACCAGTTAGTTAAAAATATTTCAGTATTTTAGGAGGTAAAAGATTTTCAAAAAAAAAAAAGTATTCTGATGAATAGAAATCAAAATTTCTCTTGGAAAGAATGGCCTCCCCTCATCTTAACTTTTAGGAAGAATTTTAATACAGGACAAAACAATAGTGGAAGGATTCATCATTTTGTTCAGTCAAAAAATTAAAACATAGTTTAATCAATCATAACATTCCTCATGTAGAAAATTAGTGAACCGAAAGGTAACTTTTGACTTTACCAACAGCTACAGAAATCTATACTGATGATCAATATGTATTAAGCTTCCATAAAAATCCAGTACATACTTTATGCTGGCAAACATATTATCCAACAGATACAAATTATGTCTAGAATAAGTTACAGTACCCATGCAAAATATAAGATGATAGTTTGCGACCATAAGAGTTAGGAAATAAAACCATTTGGCCATTGAATAAACAGTACCTTCATAACAACAACAGACGTAAGCTCCTCCTCAGAAAACTCAGACCGAGTTTGGATCTATCAGTAACATAGAAAAATGTAATCAATCTGGAAGACTATTAAATAAAAAGCATCTTTAGTCCAAAATTTTATGCAACTGCAAATTAAGCTTACTTTATTTGATCGAAGATTGCAAACAGATAGAGTCCCATCTCCACTGACCCACGCAAAAGAAAGACATCATAAACTTGCATTAGAAACTACTAGGGGGAAAATTTTACTAAAACTAATCCAACTGCACGATATAAACAGGGCAGATGATGAAAGAAACTGTGTATCATGCAATGAGCTTCTGCAAGAACAAGCATAATCAATTATGTGAAAACATAAGCTAGAACAAAATGAAAGAGCTATGGGTTACAGAAAGCACAAAAGATTGTCCCATCCAGTTGTCTTCACATCCATATAAGCTTATATTTTATTTTCTTCCAAATTAAATAAACATTTCCTCATTTGCATACTTTTTAAAATTTTCAAATATCATTAGCATATCTTATAGTTCTTCACAACGTGGAAGAAAAGTTTTTTTTTTTTTTTTTCTTCTTTTGGTCATGGGAAGAAAAGTGCTTATAATCAGCAAATGATCTAAATTTAAATAGATTTTAAAATACAACACAATCAAGAAGTAGAAGAACAACAGTCAATTATTAGTCCTTCTTTTTATATGTTACCTTTTTAGTCCAGCAACAAGGAAAGAGATTTTTATTTGAAAACAAGGAAATAGCTCCAACCTCAACTAAAAGAGTCTCCTTGAATAACTGAACTGGAAAAAATGATTACCTTGTTCCTAGCAGTTTCATGGACTCAGATACAAAAGTCATATCTGAAACATAGTCTTCATGTGCATTGAAAGAATTGCAGCAGGAACGTTGCCTGGTATCCCATACCTGCAAAGAATGAAAGAAGTAGATTAAGCAATTAAACTCTATAAGGTCATCACATCCACCTACCATGACACAAATTAAATAGATGGGGGGAACAAAGAAAATTGAAAGAACCAAGCAGAAAACACCTTAATGCAGCCTTCATCGTCTCCAGAGGCAATTGTAGACTCCGTGAGATTGATCAATTTATAAATTGCATTCCTAAAGGAGCTCAATTTAAGTATAAGACAGCATTTTCATTAATTCTATTAGCAAAGAGATGCAAAAGACAATGCATGCACTCACTCATGAGCATTTTCAAGACGGGCAATAGTTGCACCAGTTTCCACATTTGTGGCCAAAATGGAGCAATCCTTTGAACCTGTGGCAACAGCTGAACCCAATCCACCACGAACCAAGTATTAGACACCATAACCTCTTCTTCATTATGAAAATTTATCAAATTTTTTGTTATACAAATGATATTCTTTTGTTATACAAATGATATTTAGTGGAGACAAATGAAAACAAAAACTGCAAAACCACTATAAAAAAATAAAAATAAAAATAAAAATTCAGCACCTTGTCCACCATTAATGAACCTAACACTTCTGCATGATTCACTGTGTGCATTAACATTCAGCAACCTTTGAAAATCATACAAATCACAACAAACCTTTAGAAATTTGTCACAGATAAGCAAAGAATTACGAATTAAGATATGAAAACCTTAGAATTCAGACCTTTGAAGCGAGGAATCATTGCTATTGTATCCATATCTGAAACAAAATCAAGTTTAATCCAACATATTATCGAGTTTCAAAAATTACACAGTAAAGACGAACAAAATAATGAAAAATTTTCTTTAACAAGGGGGAAAAAAAAAAAAAAACTAACATGTGCAGGTCGCCGTTGATGAGAGCAACGGCGGCAAGCGGATTTGAGGGATGAAAGTCGACGCCGAAGGGTATTTCTCCTAAATTGACCTCCATAGAAATAGTATAGTAGAAGATAACAGCGATGGTTTTGCTAAAACCCGTTTTTAGGGTATTACGCGGAATAGAGAATTTTGCCAACTTTTTAATGTAGTTTCAGTTTAGTTCCAAAGTAAATATGTTGTCATAATTGAATCCTTGATATTTATGTTCGATGCAATTGAACTCTCCTTGTCAACATCAAAATATTTTAGTTTCCTCATGCATTATTTGGTCCTCTCTTCTTTTTTTTTAACAATAAAAAATAATTATTTTTCATCTCTTATCCTATCTTACCTGTATATTCTGTGAGTCGAACTTAATATCTCTTTTTCTAACAATATAAGATGGTTATTAAATTATTTAAATCATTAATTTATTTAATTTTATTTTACTCGATTTGATTTGACTGTTAAAAAAAATTAATAATTATAATTATTAATTATTAATTAATATTTAATAGTGTTGCAAAAGGCTTTGTTTAAAGTTGTTGCATATATATGTATAAATTGTTGAAAAGAGTAATACGTTTTTAATTGACAAAACTTCTTATTTTCTTGAAAAGGTATTTTT